AGCCATGAGAAGTCATTCCTGGAGCCATTCTTTCACATTCTCCATAGTATAAATTACCTCTTCCCGTCAGTAACTCAGGGCAGTTTTCACCTAATGACTTGCACACTGGTTTGCACACCGTGTAGTATTTTGGTCCCTCATCGGGAAAACATGGCGGGAAGACCTCACTACAAAATATTTTTTGGATATCTTTGGCACATTTTGGTGAGGCTTTCATTGTCGACATGACCTTGGCAAGTATTGAYCCAGGAGCTGGYGTGTTGGGGTTTGGGTCGGTAATATTTTTACGATAAAAAAACTTGTAAGCCATAGCTTGCAATTTGTCACTTAACATGGTGTGATTGTAGCCCATGTTGTCACAGAATGGAAATCTGTCGATTTTTTGGCATCCCCTCTCCAAAGGTCCTGTATAAAAAATCATCAAAAATCGATTACTTCTGCAGCCGTCAGATAAGACCGTGGTAAAAGTACCGGGGATGTCTGTCGGAAATTTTCAAAAAGACCCCTAAAAGATCCCGGACGTCTTGAAAAAAGGGCGTGGCTGACTGATTTTTAACTCCTAAGAGATTACCCCCCTCCTCCCGGGCAGATAAGTACCAATGTTTCGTCAAGTTTTACGAGTCACAGAGTCTTCTTAAAAACATCTGAAATATTGCGGTACGGGACTGACCACTWAGCATCACAAAAATATCTCAACGACATCATATCCATAATATTCTGAGTGTCAATCTCGATCGAGAGATTAATTAGCCTTCATAAGTYGTGCATTCACAASTTGTCCTACCTGAAGTTGAAGCGTTGTAGTATTTATCAAAACCTTTGGGYTCATAACACTTTCCTGATGCTGCTGTTTCATTCGGTAGAACAAGACACTCTCGTARCATCCAATCTGMTAACCAAGGACTAATTGWTGTATAACATCTCTTCATCAGCTCAGAACACACTCTTCTGCAGGGTAAGATAGGGTCCTTGTTGACATCCACACACTTTGGTGCATACGGCATACACGCAATAATTTCTGCCATTTGTRCCACGGAGCAGTTTTYAACCGCTTTAGTAATGGTGTTTACGAATCTATTAATAAAGAATACYGTTTTTGAAGACAAATCGTCTGGCAAAGGGTATGTATAGTTGTARCCAGCAGCAGCACAGCCCACWAGAGGACTGTCTTGAAAACGAACACATTGCTTTGATTGACAGTAGACACACAGACAGAAGAGAAGGACAAATAGGAACAGAGCACGGACTGCCATTTCCARGGSTTTATATTCTTGTTTATGTGCCTCCGTGGCACCAGGTAGCGACAGCACGACACTAACTGAGGGAAGAGTTGTTGACAGAAACCTCGATGACCTTGAATTGATTAGAAATTGTTGACAAGAGAATTGAAGTTGTCTTTTAAAACAAAGAAAGATTTCTGCGAGATTACACAGAACTTGGAGAAGCCASATAACCCGTGACATAGGTGTTAATAAACCCAAGTAGGTTATTTTTTTATTTTTATTTGACTTTAGTTTCTCTATAATTTCCCCAAATCCGGTGTCACGCTACACGAAACGTTTTGACTTTCGGTTTATGTATCGCCAAGAGGAGTCCCATGGGGGAGTGGGAGAGGGCAGTGAAAGGCAGCGAACTTGAAGCGACTAGCTGCGCAGCGGTCTCGTAAGGAATCAAATCTGTCATTAGTGTGTAAACAAGTCCTGTAGCCCGGGAGGAGCTTTTCCTTTTATCCTTTTATGAAACTATTCTCATCTTCTGAATTCCAGTGTTTTAAAATATTGTACAGAGAACAATGCATGAATGWAATGAGCATCATTATCATTGTCGTTTTCGCTGACCTGCTACTTTTAGACAAACTGGCTTAAATGAAAAGAAATTGTCAAGGAAATTACCATTATCAAACAGACCTGTTAAGCCATAAAAGCTAGCAATTTATCCAATAATGAAATTCTGATTTGATTGGGAGGGGTCAGATGGGGAAGACGCTTTGTTAGGCACTGCGAAATTAAAGTTTAGACTATGGCCACTTCATCTGGATTCTAGAGCCCTTTTATCCTGATAATTAATGAGCAGTCTCTTAGTTGACACCTCCCCTCCATATATGACACCTCCCCTCCATAGATGACACCTCCCCTCCATATTTGACACCTCCCCTCCATACATGACACCTCCCCTCCATATATGACACCTCCCCATAGATGACACCTCCCCTCCATAGATGACACCTTCCCTCTATAGATCGGTAGCAAGTCATGATGCCATATTAGTAGCTCAAATAACCCAAGCTCTATGCAGATTTCATGGATAATTACATGATAAAAATGAAGCGAAAAAAGCCTCTCATTAGCTCATTTATTTTTGGCTATATTCAGCCCCATAGTATAGAATGTTAGTCATTTCAGGGAACGGTTGAACAAACGTACGAAGGTCAAATAAAGTTATCCACTTATGAAGTACCACTCACTCTTCGTACAAACGAGCCCAGATGATAGTTTTTGAAAATAGTTGCGTTTCGTCTATTTGACGGCTTCTGATAATGACCGTCCAATCATAGTGTGACAGGTTCCCCTGTGTTCTTTTCACGTGAAGTAGTTTGAAATTTAAACTATAAATTGAAATCATTCTATAGGGATAATTCATGAAATTATCGTCTCACAAGATGTTTCGAATCAGATGATGGAAGTGGACTTTTCGTCTCAATCTTTTTCTTCAAAAGTACATGTACCTCAGTAGGGTGTTTTCAGCGAGTATTTCCTGCATTCTACTCATCGTGTTTCTGGTAGTCAAACATTTTGGTTAGTTTTCTTTTCTTGAAAATGATGACAGCAGCAGCGATGATGATGATGATGACAACCGATGGTATCACAACGGATATGATGATGATGGCAGTAGTACTTAGTCCCTTGGATGGAGTCTTGGTTGTTGGCTTTGTCCTCTCTACAAGTAAAACAAATACACCTTAAATTATTTTAGTTACTGAAAAACGGTAAGCAAACCTTTGCTAAATTATAGTTACTTCTGAAAAAAAGATAATTAAACAATAGAAAACAATAGAATAGCATAATTTAACAGTATTTAGTGGTATTTATGTTGCACAGTTTTAGTGTTTGTACTCTATTAGAATGTGTTTTGATTTAGTTGGTGAGTCACTAGGATACAGCACGCTTTTATTCAATAGCATTAGCGGCAACTAACCTGGCCAGTATTTTCCCCAGTCAATGATCGGAGGTAATTTACTATGCTTGCAAAAGCCATGAGAAGTCATTCCWGGAGCCATTCTTTCACATTCTCCATAGTAATAACTACCTCTTCCCGTCAATACCTCAGGGCAGTTTTCACCTATTGACTTGCACACTGGTTTGCACACCGTGTAGTATTTTGGTCCCTCATCGGGAAAACATGGCGGGATGACCACACTGCACATCAGTTTTTTGACTTCGTTGGCACATTTTGGTGAGCCTTTCATTGTCGACATGACCTTGGCAAGTATTGACCCAGGAGCTGGCGTGTTGGGGTTTGGGTCGGTAATATTTTTACGATAAAAAAACTTGTAAGCCATAGTTTGCATTTTCTCGCTCATCATGGTGTGATTGTAGCCCATGTTCTCACAGAATGGAAAGCTGACGAGTTTTTGGCATCCCCTCTCCAAAGGTCCTGTAGTAAGAAATAATCAAAAATTAAAAAAAGAAATAACTATGACAATCACATGTAACATGTGATTGTGACTGTGACTGTGACTGTGACTGTGACTGTGACTGTGGCTGTGACTATGACTGTGACTGTGACTGTGACTGTGACTGTGACTGTGACTGTGACTGTGACAAGTGACTGTTACATGTGACTATTCAGCAAATCTCAACAAGATGAAAAGAAAACAAAGAAAATCTAACGCGATATCAAACCTGACGATGTCAATCTCGATCGAAATTAATTAGCTTTCATGAGTTGTGTATTCAAAAGTTGTCCTACCTGAAGTTGAAGCGTTGTAGTATTTATCAAAACCTTTMGGTTCATAACACTTTCCTGATGCTGCTGTATCATTCGGTAGAACAAGACACTGTCGTAACATCCAATCTGMTAACCAAGGACTCATTGATGTATAACATCTCTTCATCAGCTCAGAACACACTCTTCTGCAGGGTAAGATAGGGTCCTTGTTGACATCCACACACTTTGGTGCATASGACATACACACAATACTCTCTGCCATTTGTGCCACGGAGCAGTTTTTAGCTGCGTTTTTAGTGATGTAGCTCACGAATCTATTAATAAAGAGTACTGTCTTTGAAGACAAATCGTCTGGCAAAGGGTATGTATAGTTGTAACCTGCAGCAGCACAKCCCACTASAGGACTGTCTTGAAAACGAACACATTGCTTTGATTGACAGTAGACACACAGACAGAAGAGAAGGACAAAAAGGAACAGAGCACGGACTGCCATTTCCAAGGCTTTATTACGGTAGCTTTTGCTGGTTGAGTTGCACCAGCTAGCGACATCACCACACTAAAAGAAAGAAGAGTTGTTGACAGAAACCTCGATGACCTCGATTAGATTCGAATTGTTGACAAGAGAATCGAATTTGTCTTGAATAACAAAGGAAGAATTCTGCGAGATTATACAGAACTGTATAAAGCCACCGTGAAATAGCCGTGTTACACATAAAGAGCTCTGCGAGATTAAATAGACTGGGAGAAACAACATAACCCGTGAAAAAGGTGTTAATAAAGTACGTTCTTCATGATTTGACTCAAATTTCACATCTAATTCTCTAGAATAAATCCGCTGTCACGCTTTGTGAAAAATGACTTTCACTGTCACCACGTCACTGCTGTAGTGTTTTCTTATGGTCGGGAAGARTCGTCCGGGGAGTCGTGAGTCTGAKKGAAAAGCAGGTAGCTTCAAGCGTCTAGCTGTGTGMCCCGTGGAGAATCGAAAGYATTSAAACAAGTGCAGTCCTCCGTGAGTAGCTTCTGCTCATGAAGCGCGTTCTCGTCTTTTTATAACACTGCAGTGCRTAACAATTAGCATAAATTACCATAGCAAGCAGCAGAAGATGTCAAACCAATACAAGGTGTAACAAGGGGGGAGGGGAGGGTGGGGTGGAAGAGGGAGGAAACCTTCCTTTCGATGAAACACAAAATTCTCTTTGTTATCAACCTTGGTTGACCTCCTTTAAGAGACTGCAAATGACGGGAATAAAGAGAAAATGAATACTGAATCGCCAAGCGACCATGTTATATTCATATAATATCCATTAAAGCCACTAAATAATTTATTTGCCATCAATAGAGAGGTACCACGAAAGTGTTATTTTCACCAGTGAAACTGACGACAGTGAAACTGACAATAGAGAGGTACCACGAAAGTGTTATTTTCACCAGTGAAACTGACGATAGCAAAAGTTTTTGATAGTGAAAAATAAAGAAATTTCATGAACAAGGCAAAAGTTTTTGATAGTGAAAAATAAAGAAATTTCATGAACAAGACAAAACTTAATAGAATAGTGGTCACAATATTTATTAGAACGAGGAATTTCTTATGAATTCAATCACATGGCAAGAGTATAATTCATGTTGGTAAAATGTGTTTCCTTTTCGTGGTTTGTTTTTATCAATATCTTTGTGTATTCCGGCGAAGGTAAGTTACCGCGATATTATCACCTTTTTAGCGTACTTTCTCTATATTTACATCTTTTTTCGAATCGTTTGTCTAGTAATAGAAAATTTAAGACTTTGTAGCATTCAGCAGACTGCTGTTGAAAACGCTGTAATAGTATTTTACCTTTAAGATTTACAATTCAATGCAATTTTTACCAATAGTCTCCTCGATGTTTCCCTGCGCCATCTTGAAAGGTAGCCGTGCCTTTTCATCGAAGCGAGACACGACGGTTGAGCGTGCGATGATAGAAACATTCCTTCACACCTACAGACAATTATTCACAGGTATCTRTCATCTTCAAGATGGCAACCGTACAGGAAAACATTAGTACGATAGTCAATTAATTTTATAAACTATTCGCGGGTTATATTAATCAACATATCTACAAAAGTTATAATAACGCACATGTGATGATTTCTCATGCGCTTATGAATCCAAATGTCTCTATTTTCTGAATTCTTTTAATCCTGAAGACTTATAGCTCTTTCGCATCTCTTAGCTGGCTCTACATGTCCAGGGCTTCTACTCTTTTTTTTCATCTTTTGGTGAAACGGCAAGCTGAAAGGTTACCCCGGTCGAGTTAGGAGATACGGGTGTGTTTTGTGTACTTTGAGAGCTGGTCCTGGTACGATCGTAAATAGCATAGAGGCAYTGACAGCGGCATTTCTCGGGGAGCATTTCACCAAATCGTTGCAGGGATTTATTGATGATTTTCAGGTAAGCGGAACGAAATTGTTTGATTCTTAGACTGTAGACGATGAAGTTCATGGAAGAGTTGGCCAAGTAAAGAGTACGAATCCACCAGTATGTGGTGGTAAGGCTTGTGGGTCTGAACAAATGGAATGCAATGAGAGGAATCCAGCAGATAGCAAACAACACGATGATGATTGCAACAGTTCCTGAGACTCGCTTTTCCATGGCTCTCTCTCGTGCAGCACGTGAAGTRACGTGTACAAGGTGGTTTGATAAGCAGATCTTGTACAAGATCATCCCATATGCACCAATCATAACAACAAGACACAGAAGTAGAGTTATATATATTGCAGAGGTCGCGGAATGGTATAATACAAGAATGCAGACAGCAACAGCAGCCAGTCCCCAGCAAACGACAAGCATCACCTTGAGACCTTTCTTTATGATATGATGATGTTTATGAGGCCTGAGAGCAGAGACAGCACGGTCAATACTGATTGCAGCGAGATGAAAAACCGAGCTGCAAGCCGCTAATGGTGCTGTAATAAAGTAGATCAAATCGATTTCATCGACGCACTGATTAGCAAAAGCTTGGAAAGACATCGATGTGACAAATAACGGCTGCGCAACCATCGTCACCAACAAATCTGCTACTGCTARACTCAAGAGRARAAARTTGGACGGTTTCTGTCGAAGTCGAGGTGTGTTCAGAACAGCCATGATAATGAGCATGTTTCCAAATGTTCCAACGATTGAGAGAAGGGCGTTAGTGACAATCAGAACAACTCCATGTTCTAGAGGTAAAGTGCAGACCCGTTCCATGGTGACTGTCGTGCTTTCATAGAGTGTGTAACTATAATTCTGTCCTGGTTGATCTCTATCGGCCATGTCAAGACGATCAGCTCAAAGGAAATGGAGTCAATACGGAAGATTTTGGATTTAAAGACTATATATTATGATACATCGAATGTCATGTTCTGATTGGTTCTTTAATTCAGTTTCATTCTGTTGGTTTTAGCCAATCACTGCACAAGGTATTTTAACTTGACCATCAAACGACTTTCATTTCGACCATGAATGTTGAATATTATTTTTGCTAGTCAAGAATGAGAAATAAATTTCAAGTCTTTGATTTCAGGTGCTATTACAAAGTAGATTCTAAATGTGTGTGAAAGAGAAAAGGTCGTTACGCTTATTGTTATAGTCATTTTTGACAAATTAGCAGCAATCTGCAATCTGTTGGCATGTTAATCTCTTTAGATATTCTTTGGAACTGTATGCGCATAGTTTACATAATGATGCGAGGAAGCTTAATATCTGACCTTATTTTAGTTGAAACTGAAAAGGCACATCCGATGCGTGGTCATGCATCCCGTCTAACATTTCAGGACCAGCAGTATATAAACTAATACATGATCGTGTAAAAGCATGGAATGCCTAACATTTGGATATTAAACAATAGATAATTAACGAATATATTTTATTGCACAAATTTTACACTTTATGGACAATGAATTCATATAAATAGAATTAACTTCAGAGTCTTAGTGTGAGTGAATGGCTGCCATGTTATCGGTTGTTTTAGTCCATAAACGCATGTCTTCGAGAGATGTAATAAATACTAAAGTTCATTTAAACACAGTTGAATCCTCACTTTCTCATTTTCCTCACTTCTTTCATTTTGTTTTTGTTCATCAGTTTGTTTTGAATTCATTGGGAAAGTGTTAAATGGTGTGGCAAGTGATACAGGGGTTTGATTCTGTTTACTGTCCAGATTTCCTGGAATACAACATTGACATCTATTGGGTAATACTCTTTGCATGGTTTTATTGATGATTTTCATAAATGCAGTACGAAAATGGCGAATTCTTAAACTGTACACGATGAAGTTCATGGAAGAGTTGGCCAAGTAAAGAGTGCGAATCCACCAGTATGTAGTCTCTGTAGCAGTGGTAGATGAGCGAGATAGGTGGAATGCAATGAGAGGGACCCAACAAACAGCAAACAACGCGATGATAATTGCAACTGTTCCTGAAACTCGTTTTTCCATGGCTCGATCACGCGCAGTATGAGCAACAACGTTAACTGTATTGTTCGATAGAATCTTGTACAARATCATTCCATAGGCGACAACCATAACACCAAGGCACAGAAGAAGGACGATGTACACTGTAGAAGCTGCGAYAGGGTATCCTATGATTATGGCTGCTACCAGTGCAGCAAGTCCCCAACACGTGCACAACATCACCTTCAACGCCTTTTTGATTATATCACGATGTTGATGAGGCTTTAAGGTCGATATTGCACGGTCGATGCTGATAGCAGCAAGATGGAATACAGAGCTCCCGCCAGCTAAAGCTGCTGTTACCACATAAATCATATCTACTTCACGATGACATTGATGCACAAATGTCTTCATTGATATTGAAGTAGTGAACAACGGCTGCGCAACMATCGTCACCAACAAATCTGCTACTGCTAAACTCAAGAGAAAAAAATTGGACGGTTTCTGTCGAAGTCGAGGTGTGTTCAGAACAGCCATGATAATGAGAATGTTCCCAAGCGTGCCAACCAGTGAAAAAAGTGCATTAATAACGACAAGGATTGTTCCCTTCTCCAACGGTAACTTGCATTCTTGCAAAGTTGTCATCCCAAGAATTTTTAGTATTTTTTTTCAAAGATTATTGACTTGTTTACGGTATGATTATGTCTTAATCAAATCGATTGGAGTTGGATGAATTCTTTATTCTTGTAAGTGCGTCAGAAGGGTTCAACTCGAATCACGTGTTATACTAGTTCTCGATTACACTTCTTGAGGTACCACCAATTTGATGGATATTTCTAGTAAAAGAATTTAGGATGCTCGCCCCGTTGACACGTATTTAATACAAGAACWGCCGACGTTTCATTGTGGCTGAWACGAATGCCATAAAGTGAAATCAAAGGAATGAGGCTTTTGTTAGYGTCTTTCCGGAATCATGCAACTTTGATACCTAAGAAATGTTGACTTCTTGTCTTCTGTTGTCATTTTGTGTTTTGAGCACGTTTTTTCTTCACGTAATAGTTTCTTCAAAGTTTAGTATTCAAATTTTCTTGCAAAGAGTAATGAACTTTTATTCGCGCACATGGATTTCTACCTGATAGYGAAAGSGAGGATTTGTCTTTTCAATAGTTCAAAGAAGCCGACAAAATGTCTCAACAATCAAGGAGCTCACATTGCGTTTTCTTATCCACGATTGCTTTTACTTGGATTTTTACTTTTGTCGYGTCATTTTTCAGGTCTAAACACCGTTACACACATTTATTGTGCAAAAARAGTTATAACATTTGTGTAAATTCTTATGGAAAAATGCTTTGGGCAAAGTAATTCTCCTCCCATCCCATTCCAGCTTCAATTTCTGAAATAATGTAATGCCATTAGATACCAAATGACAACCTGCAAYCTTTTTGCCTATTTATACCAATAACAAGGTTATTACATTGTAATAATGGATTTTATAACGATATAATTGCGTTTAGAAGCCACTATTAGTCAAATAACTAGTTAGTTACATTAGATGTGCAAGTGTTCAGTGTCCTTCATTGAGTCCATAAATCGGCTCTCCCTAAAGCTTCATGTCTTCCTAGTTTTCCTGATGCCGACTACATTCCGTCCAATAAATCCTTCTTCTTTAAATTGTAGTCATTTGTTCTTCTATATTTGTCATATTTGTATCTGTCTCTCCTTTTTGCTTCAAATCCACATCTGTCTCTTCTTCTTTTCGTATCGAATGCATGTCTTCTTGGTTCTGCGACACAAGTATGTCTTTTTCTTCATCTCTTTGCGATGCAAGCATGTCTTTTTCTTCTGAGTTTTGCGCCGTCAAACGCATATCTTTTTCTTCTTCTTTTTGCGTCAAATGAAAGTCTTTTTCTTCTGAGTTTTGCGCCGTCAAACGCACATCTTCTTCTTCTTCTTTTTGCGACAAATGCAAGTCTTTTTCCTCTTCATCTTTTTGTGCCTTGAAATGCATGTCTTTGTCACCCTTTTGCGTCGAATCCATATCTTTATCTCCGGTTTGCATCAGATCATCTTCTTGTCGTTGTACTACATACCTATCCRCCTCGCCTTTATCTTGTGGTAATTTCAGAGGTTCATGCGAGTCATCTGTTCGCGGTATTATATTCAGTGGTACAGGAACAGCCGTAGATAAAGGCGACATAGGAGTATGTTGTGTACTCTGTGAGAAATTCCTGGTGGCGAGGGAGTCGAGACACTGACAACGACACTTCTTAGGTAGTAGCTTCCCAACTTTTCTCAGGCTTCTTTTCATTATTTTTGAATAAGCTGATCGAAATAGTTTGATTCTTAAACTGTAGACGATGAAGTTCATGGAAGAGTTGGCCAAGTAAAGAGTACGAATCCACCAGTATGTAGTCTCTGTACTGTCTGTAGCAGTGGTAGATGAGCGAGATAGGTGGAATGCAATGAGAGGGACCCAACAAACAGCAAACAACGCTATGATGATTGCAACTGTTCCTGAAACTCGTTTTTCCATGGCTCGATCGCGCGCAGTGGAAGCTGGTACATTGACTACTCGGATCGCCAGAATCTTGTACAAAATCATTCCATACGCGACTATCATGATGATAAGGCAAAGAAGAAGAGCAATATACACAGCGGAGGTTGAATGAGGAAAAACCACAAGTATGCAAACAACTARAGCAGAAAGACCCCAACAAATACACAACATCAATTTCAAGCCTTTCTTGATGATAGCACGATGTTTGTGAGGCATCAAAGCTGAGAGTGACCGATCGATGCTTATGACAGCAAGGTGAAAAACCGAACTGCTACCGGCTAGAGGGGCTGCAATAACATACAGAAGATCGATCTCACGGTGACATCGATGGGCAAATGTTTTCATCGATATTGAAGCAGTGAACAGCGGCTGCGCCAACATGGTCACCAACAAATCTGCAACAGCTAAACTCAAGAGGAGAAAGTTGGATGGTTTCTGTCGAAGTCGAGGTGACCTTAAAACCGCCATGATGATGAGAATGTTACCAACGGTCCCCACGAGTGAAAGCAAGATGTTTATTACAACAAGCACTATTCCCTGCTCAAGAGGTAGTTCACATTCCAGATGTGTCGTCATTGTCACGGTCGTTCGTTCGTATTTGGCGTAAGAATAGTTATTTTCACCTGACTTATTGACAAACTCCATATCARTGCAAACGAGCAGAAAGTACCCGKTCTGAATATATCAGTATTGTCAGCAATCTGATTGGCTAATGCAGTCTTGGCTTTTGATTGGAATTGGGTATCGATAGCAAATGTCGCTACAAGRGGCTGGGCTGGTTTTCTTTCTAAGTTTCAGACTTCAGTACGTSAGGAATTTGTATGCCGCTTCATACTCYTTTCACGAAATTTCCAAAGGTTGCAGGCGTTGAAGATTATGTGAAAATACGTGAAGTTCGACTTCAAGACTTTTCTAAGGAAACACTAGTTTCAGTTTCAACAATGCAGAAGTACCGAGCTGTTTCAGCGTGCTCGTTTCACTTCACAAAGGAAGTTATGCATGCTGAAATCACAGATGAATAATAATGAAAACAAGKACTACCTAATTCTCAATCCACGTTCACTAAGTTTTATTCTGCATTCTTTGCATTGGGTACTTAACCAAAATCAAAGTCGTTAAAGGCATAATGTTTATAATATAATTTTTTGTGTCAAAAATAGGGCAGTGGTCAGGACATTATGGCTATTGCACAGTATTTGCATTATCATAATAATAATGAYCAATGGTATCAGCTGTATCCAAAACGAAATAATGAGAATGTTGTTAAACATCAGCTCAAATAACTAAAATAGTGACACCTTTTGCATGAGAAACAACAATTACATTCTAGAAATAAAGCAAAAACGTTTTAAATGATGTCTATTAATATACATGTTTACATACACTGTTTATACTTGTAAATAAACAGCTAAGAAGAAATCCAAAGTGTAAGAAAACATAAAATATAAAATAAAACACAAAATATTTCAAGTGTTTTTCTGAACAACTAAATTGTTTATAWATGGAGTGCAAACGAAGCTACCAAAGCTAAATGATCAGATGACAAAATCTTTGATGGGAGACCTCCAAGACTTGAAACATGTTCCTCTGATAATAAGCTTAAACATCCTGTACGCTCCATGACTTTGTGTCGATCTTTACAAACATAACACCAATTATCCCGTCCTGGTGAATCAAAAAAGTAGTCCACAGTACAACTTGGTTCTTTTTCATGATAAGTTGTCACTTCACAGACATCTCTCTCCAAGAAATGTCTGTACACACTTGAAAAGAACAGTCGATGACGAATAACTGTCGAATTGGGATCAAACTGCACAGGTTTTGGAAGCTCCATGGGTATATTTTCCATATCCTGGTAGGTTCTATCATGGGGTTTTGCACTACAAGCTTTTGCATGCAGTTGGGAGACCGTTTCTTCTTGGACTGGTAAAACAAAAGAGCTTGAGCTTGCATTAGTCAAAGATGGCCATTCCTTGTCATAATTAGCTGAGGAACTGACTGTTTGKTCACTGGTAGCAAGCCATGTACTCATATTTGTTAATCCCATTTCCTGTGGTATGATGTTATCTCTTAAACAATCCCTGCTAGAGCCGTAATAACCATGTTTGACTACAAAGTTCTGACCTGACATATCCTTTTTGTTATGATCTTTGTAATCCAAATATCCTTTAGTAATATACTTGTAAAGATCACATAATGGTGTCATATTAAAATCTCCACATAAAATAACAGGCATGTTTTGGATTGAGGATCTCCTAGAGTTMCTCTTACTCAAGAATTCTCTCTTTAGTTGATCAATTTCAGCAAATAATGTTGCCAATTGTAACAACTTGATGTCACCTCTATTTCTGTTGAATAACAAGTGAGTATTTGCTATGCAAAGAGCTGTTTTGTAGCAAGTCCGTCCATCACTGAACTTGGGATGAAGTATTGCAAGGATTGCAATGTTATCTCTATTCATTACTGGGACATGATCCATCTTGTAGTTCAAGTAATGGTGTGCAAGGAGCTCAAATTTATCCTTCCTGWAGAAAAYGGCACAACCATCTTCTTTATCTCCTGTTCTTTTCTTGTACAGTCCTTGGTATCCTACAAACAAAAATGTTTTGATTGGTTAAATGAATGAATGGATAGATGAATGAGTAGAAGAATACTGTGATAAGTAAATAAGTCTATCTGCCGTAGAAAAATAAAAGACTAATTAAGAGAAGATGGATGGACAACGTTAAATACTGACAAAAAAGAACAAATGAAATACAAAATAATTAAAAAATAAAAKRATTCAAACAATTTCCGATCACGATTTATTTGTGGTAAATACTGCACTACTCTCCAATCCAACAAAGTGTTTGTATTACATTACTTACCRGCTTTACTCAGTTCTGGCTGAAACCAGTTGTCATAATGTGTCTCCTGTACTTCTTGAAGACACAATATCTAATCAAATATAATAATAAAATTATCATCCTGACAACTGCTAAATCAAATAAATGAAACCAGCCAAAAGGTAAGACACAAAATGAGAAATATATGGAGCCCGGGGGGGGCACTCCCATATATTTGCTATACGGGGACGTGCCGCTGGCCAGGGTATGGTTTTTGGCCTTGCTGTCTTAAACAGGGTATACATTTCACCCGAAATTGTCTTAAACAGGCTCGACAATTTAGATAAAAGACCGATATATTTTTTTGTGTGTCTTAGACAGGGTAATATTTTCATAAGAAATACCGTAGAAATAATAAAAATACCGTTTCACTGTCCCAGGATTAACGTGTTATCAAAAATTTCTTATTGTCTTTGATGGATGTCAGTATAATTGCACTTTTGATGGTTGCGGCGCAGATTGCTATACCTTATTTTTCCGATTTGTCTTGAACAGGGTATGGATTTTCACTTTCTAGCGTCTTAAACAGGGTCAGGGATTTAGACCGCTGGCGGCACGTACCTATCCAAAGTGGGGTCGAGTACCCCCCCCGGGATATGGAGTAAAGAGCTTGTTTTTACTAGTGGTAAAAATGGRAGGGAAAAAGCAAGAAAGGGGAAGAGGAAACAAGCAAATAAAGGTCTGTAAAYRCCATACAAAATATATGAAAAGAAAACAAGAGATTGACTAGAAGAAGAATTGATTATAATAATGTTAAAATGGAAATGCATTCTTACATCAGCATCGTAAAACAGGATYTCTTTTAGTAAGTTTTTCTTTCTATATTCCCAGTGTAGTACCCATTCCTCACAGTTATCATACAGCATAGGATGAGAATGAAGTAGAGAGTCCGCCAATACATTATAAGAAACAATCGTAAACTGAACACTTTTCCGACRATGCCGTGRTCCTTTKCTAGATAAGATGCGCCATACTCTTCCAACATCTTTMRCACTTTGAAATAGAGGTTCTTTTGGYGGTTTCATAGTGCTATCATGGATCAATGGTACCTCTGTAGAATGCAGTTTCTGCCTTTTTGTTCTATCATCACTTTGGTTAGATACSGACGACATTGCTACTGAACAATCTCCTAAACATTAGAATATCAAATAATAACAACTGGTTGATACTTTACTAGGAGAAATGTATACGAATAAATAACGCACATCCATGTAACGGGCAAACTTTATGGATTTAAACTTGTAGATGTAGATAACTTAACTTACTTAAAAATATTAACCAAAAAAAAATAAGCTTAAGTCTTAATTAAACTTAGATGTAATTAATATTAATTACATGTAATAGCTTAGTGCCACAGAATTATATTCCATTTCTTATTTTAACAGTATTCGTTTATGGAAAAGTTGAATATGAATTTATCAGAACTAGAATAAACTGCAGCTCTAATAACTTAAGTCATACGAAATTATCGTTGCAAACCTTCATCGCTCTGCACTTTCTCGTGCTGGTTTTTCGCAAAAGACATTTTAGATGTTTGATCACTTGTGCTGGCCTTCATTCTAGAATTACACCAGAACGKGTGATGTATTCCTTGTCCCTTCATTTACCAGACATTTTTCAAGATTTCTTCAAATTGTACAAACTTCGGTAATAAGTTTGTCCTTCCAATGTGGGGTAAATCCGCAGGTCAAAAACACAGGGAACCCAAACCACGTTTTTCGTTTCTTCGTATTTTTGAAGTAATGCTAGATAATCAATAGATTGCTCTTGGCAAAATATATTTCAAAGCTCTTTGAAAACTCGATACAATGATATACAGTTTTGTACAAAAAGTGATATTTTACTCTTTATTTTTTTAATAATCATTCGTGTGTACTGCAGGCTCAGGTATAAGATTTGTTCAAGCGCGCGCTAAACTGCAGCAAAGAGTTACATATATTTCGGCTTTGTAAAATGTTTCATACAAGCTCACAGAGAAAGCACTGGATGTTCTCTAGTCAAGATGAAGTACAAAACCTACGAGTAAAAGTGAATTCTGAATATATCGAGAAATATCGTCAGACTAGCAATGAAGAAGTGGGATGTCTGACTGTTGAAGAAGAGAAAAAACTAGTTGACTATTATCAGCTTGTTCTTGCTGATTTACAAGCGAAGTTTAAACCTCTAATGGACCCTCCAATGCCTAATGTAGCTGTGGCAACTGCCATAGCGTACATGAAACGGTTTTATCTGAAGACATCGGTTATGGATCATCCACCAAGAGAAATGTATTTGGTGTTCTTGTACATGGCTTGTAAGGTTGAAGAGTACAACATTTCAGCTGAAAGATTTGTGWGCATTTTACCAGCAGATCGAAGAGAAAAAGCTCTTGATTTTATTCTCTCCCATGAATTGTTGCTYATGCAACAGCTGGACTTTCATATGACAATACACAATGCATACCGTCCACTTGAAGGATTTATAATCGACATCAAAACAAGATTGAATATAAACCCAGACCAATGGAGGTCTAAAGCAGAACACTTTCTTCTGTTATCACTACGTACTGATGCCTCCTTTTTTAATCCTCCATCTCAGCTTGCACTTGCAGCATTGCATTATGGATGTGAGAGTGATGACATCATAAAGTACATGATGTCATTGGGAAACAGCGACAAGAACAGAAAATTGATTGAACAAATTAGRAGTATAGTTAAGGTTGTTACCTTCCAGAAGCCTCTTGTTGCAAAGGATGAAATTAAAGCCTTGGAACAAAAGCTCAAAGGTTGCCGCAACCCTGATAATAATCCAGAGGGAAAAGTTACAAAGAGAAAGAAGAAGATTGACAATTCTGAAAGTGCGGAAAAAGAACTTGTTGTGCCAATGGAGATTAATAATTGATGACAAGACTGGAAGTTTGAATTTCTGATGTTTTGAAGCAAAAAGATGCACACTGGTTGAACTGCTGATTCTTAAGTTAAAACTTTATTGCAGTTTGAGAACATGAAAATATGCATAAATCTAAGTTACAGAACAAGTGTTCCAAGTGTAAAAATGTAAAGCATTTGATGCATTCATAAAAATCTAAAAATACTGGGTACCACCACTGGGTTGTCTTTTTGAATAGTAATAATAATAGTAAAACTTGAGCCTTTTAACCATGTAACTATATGTGGTATGTATATCTGTGTCAGTGATATAACACAGTATTGCCGTCATGACAAGGGTTATTATAACTGTGATCGCTAGGTATAACACCACTGCCCAGGATGGTGTCAGAGTTATCTCAACTGTGTCATCTGTTCTTGGGTTACCTGTGGAGCAGGGGATACTTACATTTATTACAATGATCAATGACAAGATTATATATTGTTTCTAGGTCTGTTATGGCTAGAAACAATACATGTATGTAATGCTCACTATAGCCTGCAAAACAGTCTTTCCCAGGAAAAGTAGTGATGAATGAGGAGAGAATTMTTTCATTTATTAACACTAATACTCAGTTTCTTATCATTTTTCAAGCAATTTCAGCATAGTTTTGTGTGGTTAAAAAGTAGTGAATATGACAACTTACTTTGTTGTTGCACTTCACCGTCACCAGCTGACTTGATATTCGTCTTCAATGGTTTGGCATTACTTTCCTTCAATTCTTCAGGTTTATCCTCTTTTTCTTTTTGTTGTGATTGTTTGGTCTGTTGTTCTTTTTCTTGTGCAGCTGTGAACTTCTCCATGGCGGCTGAGAAGATTAAAATTTTGAAAATAAAGAACTTGAAAAAGCCAATTTTGTGGGTGTACAAATAGACACTATAGTACATGTTTCATCCTCAAAATACTTGATTGAATCTTTCTCTTGTGCAATCCAAGCTTCAAGAGGGTGTGTTTTTAGAAAACATTTTGTACCTTTATACTGCTGTTTTCCCATCTCAGCATAAATAACAGTGAAAAGATCAAGGGTTTGAAGAGTTGTTGGATGTTGTTCTCCATAACATGCCTGCTGGAGTTTCACTGCCTGGKATTTAAGTATTATAGTCAGGTTTAGTATAAATCTGACCTTGGTAAACATAAATTACACACAATTACCTTYGCACAGTAGTCTAGAGCCAGTTGTGGACTGCATACAAGAAAAAGACATTAGAAGAGACATGTACATTTCTATTGCAAAGTATCAAGTAATTATTATTGAATCATGATAGCAGCTCATAAATATTGCAAAGTTACCAACTAACTTTTTCTGCTTTAAACACATGTGAGCTAGTTTCTCGTACTCGTCAGCCTTCCTTGCTTCTTCTGAGACTGCAGTTTGGGTAAAAGTTTGATCCTGATGACAAAAAGAAAATCGGATGAAAAATAACAAAACAATAAATTCAGCTCACTTCAGTACATATTATTTTAGCTTACTTGTGAAGTAGTATTGATATTACTTGCAGGTTTTCTGTAAGGAATGCTGTCTAAATAATTCACAACAATTAGAATTTTATGTAATATATGACTTAGACTGTTGGAGTGTTTCTT